ATCCAACGTGGAAGTTGGGATCTGACTTACCATCGTATATTTGAAATCTCGGCATATTGAATCTCTTCAGCGCCTCAAACCTGTCCAATTCCACCGAGAATGGTGTCCTCGGTTTATCTGGGGAGGTTACCTCGGCGTCGACGTTCTGTTGCTTCCTCTTGAGGTAATCTCTTAAGTCCTCCTTCGTCCGCCTAGGAGCTCGGCTATCTCCTACTTTCAGTTTTTTTGGTGCACTACTTTCAACTTCGTGATGAGTCCTCTTTGACCCTTCTCCGTGAGTTGTGTCGAAGCACAATGCCTGCACCTGAACATGCCGATGTCCTTTGGGGTCTACCTCCTTTGTGCGATGCGTTCTCTGTGATTCTTTCCTTTTTGACTCTCTTCGTCCGACTTCCCTAGAAGGTCAGTGAGAGTATCTTTTGCTCCCGTTGTGCTGAGGGGCTACGGGGATTGTTTTTTTCCCTCCATTCTGGGCATTGGCCGCTAGAATCGGCGTGTCCTGCTGCGGGAACGGTGGTTGCATGACGTTATTTTGCATCATGAAATTGACGACTGACTGTAGGTCTGCCAATTTGTTTGCCATCTCTTTTACCTCTTCGTCCCTCTGCAGACACCTATCCTTCCATACCTGGAGGTCGTCCTCGTTGTAGTATCCACTTCGATCTGGTTCCTTTGGTGCGTCGCCAATCTGGCCGACGTCTTTCACTTCGTGATTCTGGTCACGAATTTCTGCGTTGTATTCGTCTCTTGTGATATCAAGGTCAATAGGTCTCCCACTCCCAGCAGGAGTGTCGTCCCCAATCTTTTCCTTCTGTCCGTTACTGGCCATCTATTCTCTTTTCTTTCCCACAGACGGTGCCAACTTGTGTGGGTGATTTTCTGACCACACTGCCAATTTAGTATTCAGCTGGAAAACACTGGCAGAATAGATGACACCTGGCTAACCTGCAATAGAAAGAGAAGATTCCGGCAGTGGTTCGTCCACCCGGGGGCACTCCGACGATCAAGTCAGTATATCTCTCAAAGATAATCAATAGTGCTAATCTCACTGTTCAGAATATAAATTGCATACCTTAGATCCATGGTGGTGCCTCTCTTTTATAGCCAACACAATCCTAGTCCCAATAGAAGCCTAACTCTATTGGACTTAGGATTACTGCTAATCTTGGACTCCTAGTAGGATTAGGATAAACTCTCTAAGAGTCTTATCTTTACCCAAACTGAAGTCTTCTTCCATTCTAAGACTCTTGTCCCTTATCCCCTTATCTCGGATTCCGATATCTTCGGAGATAACCTCGGCCTTTCCGAGATCACCTCGGTGTCATGACCAAGACACGTGGCACCTCGGCTGACATGTCGGCGTCACCTTAGCCACGTGTTGATACTCAGAAAATATATTCCCACAGCATGTATATTGATTAAATGGTTATGGAATGGGTTGGGTTGAGTTGAGTGTTCAAAAAAATGGATTGGATGAGTGTTCAACTAAGATGGGTGTTGAATAGTGTTCAACATAAAGTTTTGAATTAAATTATTTATATATATATATATATATATAAGGGTAATGTTAGGGATACCAAATTTTCTACCAAATAAATGACCAAATGTCTCACATGGGTGTGGGGTCCGCAATTTTGTGAGCCCCACACCCATGTGAGATATTTGGTCATTTGTTTGGTAGAAAATTTGAGACGTCTAGCATTTTCCTATATATAAGGGTAATGCTAATAGAAAAAAAAATTTCCAGGATATTCAATTGAACACATTTCCTTGGCTTTAGAGTTGCACTGGGCGAGACAAATCAAATGTTAATATTTATCCTGTCACATTATTATAGGTCAAATTATGAGAAAAAAAAATTGAGTCGTAAATATTTAAAATTATCTATATTATTATTAAGTGAAAGTTTTAATTAGTGTAGTGAAATTTTTGCTCAATTCATATTAGGTGTTAGTGTTATTTATTTATCTTTTTTAGAAAAATTATACAAAAAATGGGTAAGACTTTATTCATAATCATGAATTTAAGATCGGAAAAATAATATCACTTAAATTAAGGTCAAGTTTGACAACTCAAAAATAATTCATCTTTTTATTTTTTTTTCATCATATCACCTCTCTATTTTTCTGCATATTCTTTCGTAAAAAGACAAAAAAATATACTTATTTAGGTCATTCTAAACAATCCCTAAGTATATATTATAATATTAATTTTACAATTATTATTATTATTTTTTTTACTTATTTTTTTTACTTATTGAAGTATGATCGACTCTATGGACGCATTGGATTTGCATGTTGAAATCCATTAGCGTGAAATCACGAAAATTCATGCACGCAGAGCAGTGAAAGAAAAGAAGAAAAAAACGGGTGGATCTGTTCCATCTGTCGGTCTAAACATTCTCCGCGTTGCCGCGCGTCACCTCTCTTGACCGCAAATGCGTAGTTGCGTAATTATCACATTATTATTTTATGAGTAAATTACAATAGCACTCGCAATTTCTATTTAATATAAATCTTTTTGATATTTTAAAAATTATATTTTTCTTTTTAATATTTATCATCTCATTATAAATTGTGTCTTGAATTACTGAAGTCATATCTTGAATTTTTTTAAATGATCATCTTATCCTTTTTCTTACTATTTTTTTTCTTTCTATTATCATTACATTATATAACTTTTTGTCATTAAATTCTACCCGTACGTATTATTATTGATGATAATATAAAATATAAATTTTATATAGAATTTTCAAATACAATGATATAGCTTAATAGTTATTTTTTACTTTAAAACAAAACACTCATAAATATGATTTATATTTACAACAATATCACTATTATAATATTTTTATGATATTTTTTGTATCAATTTTCATATATAGATATAATTTTTCATTTTTATTTCTATTATTATATCTAGAGTAGATCAATTTAATCTAGATATTTTAAAAAAGTATAAAATTTGTACAAATTTTTTAATAAAAAAATTTATTAAATAAAACAAAATAAAATATTGTATTGAATTTTTGTATTTTTGAATTTTTTTGTATTTGGTGAATTTAAAAAAATATAAAATATTATAATTTTTAAATATATCTAGATTATGTGTATTTAAAAAAAATATTAAAAATATTAAAAAAATTCAGTAAATTTTTTTAAAAAAATGCAAAAAATAATTAAAAAATAATTAATTTTTTATGTGAGTTAAACCAAAGAAGACGATTGTTAATTTTTTTTTAAATGACATGAATAAAATATCTATATTATTTTAATTTGATAAAAAGTAAATGTAATTTTTTTAAATATGAAAAAAAAAAAATATGTACGTATTATATATATGAATATTTACCTATAAATCCCATCTTAAGGAATGGTGATCTATTTAGTCCTAAGAATTTTCTTATAGACCAATTAGTCCCATTGATTTTAGAAATGTAGATTTAACATATTATTTAAAAATTAGATTTACAGTTATACCCTTATTTCTATTATGTTTTTTTTTTTTTTTTGTGTTAAAAAGGTAAGATACACTATTTTGGATGAATTTTTATATAAAAATCTTTTTTATTTGGAAAACATTGCAAAAGGAATAAAAAAAATAACTTAAAATATGGAATTCTTCAAACATTCCAAAAAGATGTGAGATTTTTCAAACATTTCAAAAGAAGTACAAAAACTACTTGGTAAGTTTTGGCAAAATGTGTAATTTCAAATTGTAATACTCCAATATAACACTCAAACGTACCACTCTACTGTAACACACCAAAAAAATCTTAATGTAATATCCTAATGTAACATAAAAAAAGCTTCTTACTGTACTTTTTTCAAACGTAACACTCCAATATAACACCCCAAAAAAACCTCTTAGTGTAACACTCTAATGTAACACACACAAAAATTTATTATTGTAACACTCTAATGTAACACACAAAAGAATTTCTTAGTGTATTTTTTTCAAACGTAACACTCTAATATAACACTCCAAATAAACTCTTTCGCGTAACACTCTAATGTAACACATATAAAAATTTCTTAGTGTAACATTCTAATGTAACAGACACAAAAAAAAATTTAGTGTACTTTTTTTTTCAAATGTAACACTTGAATATAATACTCTAAAAAGACTCTTTTGTGTAACACTCTAATGTAATCCACAAAAACTCTTTAGTGTAACATTCTAATATAATATATAAAAAAACTTATTAGTGTTCTTTTTCTCAACGTAACACTTCAATATAACACTAAAAAAAAATTCCTTAGTATCACACTTTAATGTAATATACAAAAAAAAAAAAAAATTGGTGTACTTTTCCCAAATATAACGCTTCAATGTAACCAAAAAAAATAATCTTTGTATACTTTTCCTAAACGTAACACTCTAATGTAACACTACAAAAAAAAAAAAGAATGTTAGATTCTTCAAACCATTCCAAAAGGAATAGAAATATTTCTTAGTAAGTTTTGGACAAATGTATAATTTCAAATTGTGAGTGTTACGTTTGGAAAAATTACACTAAGAAATTTTTTTTAGTGTTTTTGTGTGTTACATTAGAGTATGATACATTAAAATGTTACGTTTGAGATTACATTGATTGAAGAGTTACGTTTGGAAAAACATATTAAGGAATTTTTATTTTTTTTTGTGTTACATTACAGCGTTACGTTTGGAAAAAATACATAAAAGAGTTTTTTTTTAATAGTGCGTTATTACGTTTGTAAAAAGTACACTAAAGAGTTTTTTAGTGTTTGAGTGAAATCCAAAACTTCTATAGTACAAATTGTCTAAATGTGTAATTTTACATTTAAAGAAACCCAATTTTTTTCTTAAAAAATTAAATTCAAACATATAAATGACTTTACATTTTAATGAGACCTTTAAATTTAAAAAAAATAAAATAAATAAAGACTAAACAATTCATAATATCACATTTTAAAATTTATTCTTCACCCAAATAAATGTCTATAAATAATAATTGACCTAATTGCAATTATATTGTCCTATTGTGTACATGGCGCGTAACGAACCCAACATCTGACCTCTTTTGAGGATCACGACAAATGACACAATTCAAAATCCACCGCCACCACCAACAACAACAAATTGAGATCCTCTAGCTCCGATAATCTCACCCATGGTCAGAGAAAATCAAGAACAAGAACACCTTTGTCGTGGCCTAATCGTCGGGAATTACTGCCACGATGTTCTCATCAAAGACGACGTCGTGATCGCCGATAGCCTCGGCGGCGCCGCGGCCTTCATCTCGGCCGTCCTCGACGGCCTCTCTATTCCCTCCGCCTACGTCTCCAAGGTCGGTCCCGACTTCGCCTACGATGTCAATCACCACCCCATCGTCTCCTCCTCGCTCACCACTCTCTTCCACGCCCATTTCTCTTCCGAACCCACCGAATCGAGACGCCAGGATCGGGTCCTCAGTCGGGTCCGATCCTGCGATCCGATTCTCCCATCGGATCTTCCCGACTCCAGATTCGATTTCGGTATGGCGGTTGGGGTCGCTGGAGAGATACTCCCCGAAACCCTAGACCGAATGCTAGGATTATGCCGCGTGGTGTTCGTTGACATTCAGGCGATCATTCGAGTTTTTGATTCTGAAGATGGAACAGTGAGGCTGGTTGGGTTGATGGAAAGTGGGTTTTCTCACCTATTGCCTCGAATTGGGTTTCTCAAAGCTTCGGCTGAGGAAGCCCCTTTCATTGATGTTGAGGAGGCTAGGAAATTGTGCTGTGTTGTTGTGACAAATGGGAAGGACGGTTGTACTGTGTATTGGAAGGATGGGGAATCCCACATTGCGCCATTTCCGACGGTTCAGGTCGATCCCACCGGCGCTGGTGATAGTTTTTTAGGGGGTTTTGTTGCCGGGCTTGTTCAAGGGTTGCCGGTGCCGGACGCTGCACTGTTGGGTAATTTTTTTGGTTCTCTCACTGTAGGGCATGTTGGATTTCCCAATTTTGACTCAAGATTGTTGCAGGTTTGTTCTGCCACTATAGTCTTTTTTGACATTTCCATTTAATTTAATTTATTTTATTTTATTTTGTGTCTGTTCAATTCTTTTGTTATTGCAGTCCAATTAATTGGAAAATTGAAATTTAGGCATCTATACAGCCCTAGTTAATTTTGAGGTTCTTGAAATGGGAGTGCTTGAGAGAGGAAGAGGGTATTGCACTGATTGCATGTACTTTCAGACAATATGTTAGAGAAGTTTTTCATAGAAAATTTGTTATTGCAATTGAAATTTGCAACTTTGTGCGTGGTGCAGTTTTTCCATAATCTATTAGATGAAGTTTTTGAGTAGGGATAAATTGATATGCATTTGAAGTTGAGAACCGCAACGAGAGGTGCATTCCATGCCATGGATTTTGTTGATGCTATATGTCAAAGGTTTGCAAATGAGAAATTGGGCTGGGGTTTTGAATTTCCTTGCCTAACTCGCAGGATTGAATTCCAACTTTTGTTAGTTGATCAACGTGACCTTTATATTTGCAAACAGAGTTTTGATGACCTAGGTAAATAGTTAGCAGGAACCTATTACCATTGAATTTTCCTGTTGATTTGTATTCTTATGTAAAGGTAAAATCTTTAGCTATGTTCTGTTAATTCTTTGAAATTCTATCTGAAAATGAGGGAAGTTACCTGGTTAAAAAAAAAAAGAAAAAGAAAAAGGTTACCTGATAGAATCAGGATGCTCAAGTAGTTGGTGTTTATTTTATGTTTGTTGTGAAGCAAAATTGCAAAACATTTGAATTCCTAGTAACTTAAAATTTTTGGATGAAAAACCAGTAAGATTTTTTAAATTTGTATGTGCCAATTGCTTTTTCCATTTTTATGTCATTTGTATTGTTTGGAGGCTAATAACTCTAAAACCTAGGTTCTATTGGCCTTCTTTTTTTATAGACCACCTTTTTCTTCCTTACACTTTGGCTCCAACTTGGTGGGGATTTTTGGGACTTGCTATTGCAAATATTTTCATATAAATTTTGACAAGAGAAGATTAATGGAGAATTAATAGTTGAACAACTTATAGGAGTAAAATGAGTGTTGCTTCCTATGGAAACATAGATTGAGTTAACCAATTGGAATGATTTCTTTTTCTGACTCGGAGAACCTCTCAATGAATTCTATTATGACTTGGTAAGATTTTGCACTGTAATTTTTCTATTATCCTGCCTGGTTGTAAATTGTCATAGCATTCTATTGTTATTGTACTTGTGCATGCTTGTGTTCTTGCTTATGATCGTTATGTATGTCTATACAGGGTGTTCTCATCTTAGAGGTTCCATGCCTGCAGACTGAGCTTCCTCTCCTCCTGCTGCTCTGTTTTCTGTTCTTTCTTGTGATGCCTCCTTAGAGGCTTTGTAGCCCTTGGGCTTGTTTCCTTCATTCAAAAAAAAACAAAACAAAAACAAAGTCACTCTTTTAAGACGACCATTTGTTGATTGGGACCCTAGATCCACATTGTTCTTTGAGCCCCTTGTTTGCCTATATTTTCACAGTAAAATTGATCTCACTGTTTATCACAGAAAACAAAAAGTTCCAAAAGTTGTAACAAAAACTTAGCTGGGTAAGGTTTTTGGGCAGGAAGACAGTGATGGGTGCCAAACATGTAATTTTTGCTGAGGTGGTTTTGTTCATGGGTATGATGGGCTGAAAATTTATCCTTTAGAATGCAAATGCCAACCGTAGGAGATCATGAGAACCAAGGCCTGACCCAGAAGAGAATATATTTTTAGATCATTTGAAGGGAAAAGGAGGAACAAAAGGAAGGGGAAGGGGGCAGAAAGAAATTAAGCTGTTTTATGAATCTAACATGCTGATTATTTGATTGTTCCCACAATTTTTTTTGAGTTTTATCTTATCCCTTTTTTCATAAATGCAATATTTAAATTCCTTCATACTGGATAATTTTTCTCATGACCTTTTTTTTCCTTTCAGAGAGTCCAGGATGAGGTGCGGAGGAGAAAGTTGCAGTGCAGTGGCTGCATTGAGGAACGAGATGATAGAATGAAGTTTGTGAAGCCATTAGGTCATGATCAATTCCATGCATCACTTGCTGCAACCAAATTAACATCCTCCTGTAGTAACTGGGAATGCCAACAGGAATTGCGGAGTTCTCCTGTAGCGGTAGAGCAGGATATCCACCAGCAGTACACCAGTCAGCAGAAATTATTACTTAATTCAGTGTTTGAAGAACCAATTCAGTCGGTTAATAGAACACCTTGACACGGGAAATCCTCCCAATTTTCCAGACCCCTGTTCATTTTTCGATTATGCATAGGTTTTTTGTTGAACAAATAAAGATTTCCTAGCATGAAGCTTTGTGTTGGTTATGTGATCCAATTTGTGAAGCATTCAATAGGCAAATCAAACCCTCCACCTCCATCTTGTATAGGCCAGGTACCTTGTGTGCTCACAAATATATTTTCCCGGCTGTGTAACATTTTGAACAATAGACTTGACCAATTGCTTTCTGAATGGTGTGGATGTCAAGGATCTGAAGTTCGGGTAGAGGCCATAGGTGGCTACAACTTGCCATAATTCCAAGGGTGCAAGCATGAAATGGTGGTGTAAAATCATGGTGATTATGGTCGCTGACCCTTGATGCATAGTTCACTTTCTAATACAAACTTGATTTTTGTTTTCAGCAACTCCACTTACGTGCTGGTTTTTGTATCATTCATTTTAACTTAAAAAGGATATAGTGTAGTTATAAGTTGTTTGGCTTCTAAGCAAGTAAAGCAATGTTGCCTAGCCTATACAGATGCTGTTTTTTTTATTATCATTCATTCTCTTTCAAGTGTAGCAAAGCACGTGTGACATAAGTATTGTCTGTGTTCTTATTTTCTACATTTTGCCCTTTGAACGGCTTAGAATAAGCAGAAACATAATGAAGGGATGGAAGTAGCATCTTTGGAATCAATCTGCCTATTTTCACTTTTAAAGATTGGTTCCCAAAATGATGTGATGATATGCAGTTTGATTATAAATGTGCGAGTGGTTGATAAACAACACAATCGACATCAGGTTAGCTTTCATCTATCCAGACCTGTCAGACAGGTCCCAAGTCCGGAGAGAGTTGAAACTCCAAACCAAATCACATTGCACAGTGTCTTGTTTAATCTCACCAGCTACATCTCTCTTTGCATTGGAATTTGATATTTGACACTTGTTTTCATTTCTTTTCCTTTTTTAGGTGATGAGCTAATTCAACGAGGGGTAGCCTAACCCCCAAATAAAAGAAGCTGATATTCAATTCCAAGTCAGTGGTACCAGCACTAAATAAGATTTAATTACTTGAAAAAGTCTGAAATAGAGGAATATCCTAATGATTAAGGTTGATGCAGAAAAATACCACCTCAATCTATGGGGTTTATTGATTACACAAACTAAGCTAGCTTAATGAGATCGTTGTTGGAACGAAGGAAAGCAAAACAGCTGCCATTGATCGAAAATAAATCAAACAACATTACAAAGGAAGTTCGCCGCTGTCAGCAATTTGAACATTGCTCTTGGGAGTGCCACTCTGATTGCCTTCAGCTTCAATCTTGTAAACCACATCCATGCCCGATAGCACCTTTCCAAACACCACATGTCGGCCATCCAACCTGTATATAAATTCAAAAATAAAACAAAAATAAAGTAAATCAGAGTAAATTATAAATTTAAAGCCACAATTGTGATACTCCAATGTCTAGGAAACCACTAGAGATGAGCATGCTCAAATTGGTTGAAAGATGTGTTTGGAAGAGGGCATGATCACTTATGATAATTTGATCCACGTCTATTCTCAAAAGCCAGTAGAAGTACGCAGATGAATTTTTCTATGATTGATTAAATAAAATTTTCTCTCTTCTACCATAGGTGCATTAGTAGTTACCAGCTAGTTGTGACAGTTGTAATGAAGAACTGTGAGCCATTTGTGTCTGGGCCAGCATTTGCCATTGAAAGAAACCCTACACGCAAGAAGCAAAAAGCAAAATCTGTTCAGCGGGCAATACAGAAATAGATTTCTTGAAGTATGTTGATTATGTCATACTTGCAGTTTGTAACGATGGATCTTTGTTGAAAGTTTGGAACTAGTAAGTAAGTCTAGGGTCCAAAAATAATACTGTAATCATACCTGGGCCAGTGTGCTTCAGCTTGAAATTCTCATCAGCAAACTTCTCTCCATAAATTGATTCTCCACCTCGTCCATCACCAAGTGTAAAATCACCGTCCTGGAGCATAAAGCTGGGAATAATTCTATGGAATTTGCTCCCCTTGTAGTGAAGAGGTTTCCCACCTTTCCAACACCTTTCTCCCCTGAAATAACGAACATATTACATACATGAATGATTTAACTAATTCTGTATGTCTAGTACATTCAATATATTGATCCTGAAAAAAATGGGAATAAATAAATATCCTGTTCTTAGATTAGAAAAAAATTTAGACGGGTTGATATTTGATTTGATCATGAAAGGAATAAGAGTTCTGAAATGAAGTACAAGATGCGTAATGGCAACCAAACTGACTTCACTACTGTACCTGTGCACAGTGCTCGGAAATTCTCTGCAAAAGTTAAAAAGTATTTCAGTTAATTCCCACATTGTTAAAAAGTAGTATACAATAATCCATTACCAGAAGAAAGAATAAAAAATACAAGCACACAAATCATATATAATCCATTGTCTCTAGACTCTCACGCTATATACACTATCAAACCTGCTGTTTTAGGAACTGCCTTCCCAAAGAGACCCATGACAATACGACCTGAAAAAAAGAATGGTGATGATTAGAAAATCTCAAAATCTAGGGTATATTTCTGTGGACATAAGATTTACTTTGAAAAAAAATATAAATAAAAGGTGTATGCGGTTTGTACTTAGGGAGGGGAGCCTAAGCAATATATAGAGCCAACAGCATCTCTCCATGCCCAAAGAGACTGGAGGAAATGCTAAACAAAAAACATGAAGCCCAGCACATGTATTATACATATATTCATACATTTACAAATATCATTTTGTTTAGATCAAAAACATGTTATGAACATCTCTATTGGTATACTAGTGAGCTACGTTGTTGGAAACATCACCTTACTTCCACATCACCAAAATTGATGTGCTAACAGCAATTTTTATGAAATAATAATTCATCATGCAGTGAAAACGAGACACATGTAGCTCAGTCTGCCACTTTGCCTTCAAAAATACAACAATCAATATATGCAGGGCATGTTTGGTTGCCAGAAAGGATAAAGAGAGGATAGGACTATCCTTGGAATAAGTGGCGGTATAATAGGCCTCACAGGATAAGGGAGGATTGTGAATGATATAATGTATATTGTTCAATCACATGTTAGGGAGGGACGGGATAGGCTAACATTATTGTATGCCACGAAAGTGATTTATTCCACTCCAATGGGATAGAGTGTTCTATCCTGATACGCTATCAGTTGTCAAATTATGAAACCAAATATGAGATAAATGGATCTCCCAGACAACTAATCCAACCCCCCCTCTTTTATCTAGCAACCAAACATGCCCATAAAGTACCACCAACTCCTCCAAATCAAACCAGAAACCAAATGTGAGATAAATGGATCTCCCAGACAACTAATCCAACCCCCCTCTTTTATCTAGCAACCAAACATGCCCATAAAGTAACACCAACTCCTCCAAATCAAACCAGAGACTTCAACAAACCAAGACTGCATTATGACTTATGTCATATACACTCTATCTATTACATACAAAGCACACAACTCACTAGGTATTACAATCCACATCATATTTTCCCCAAATATTTGCCTTAACCAAAACTGTTAACCACCAAGACTCTCTCTCAAGTCCCACCCACAATCTCCTACACAAAGTAGTGTGCACACTCTTCTAGTATACATATAATTCCACAAATTTAGCAAACCAAAACATAATATAATTGGAAACATGATAACCAGCAGAGTACAAATCCATGTTGCAAGAACATACCAGCAGGTTTTCCGGCAATCTCAACATCAAAGTAAACTTTGTGAGTCACTTCCTTTAAATCCTCCTTCGATTTCTTCGCCTGAAAAGCAAATCACATCATCACATCATCCACTACACACACAAACACACACACACACACACACACAAAACGGAAAAAACAGGAAAAAAATCCAATCTTTGTCTAACCATACCAAATCAATCCGTAAACTACATGAAACAAAGCCTTGTTTACTCTAATATTTCTACAAATTAACACAATCGGTTCAAAGTATACAATTGATAATCAATTGATCAATTGCAATAAGATATGTAGATCTATCATCAATTAAACACAAAAAATCTCAGATCGGATGTGATTTGTGAGGATTCTATGCTGGATCAAATCTGAAGATGAGAGTCAATCAATCATCTTTGTTATAGATAGATAGAGAGAGAGTACCTGAGTGAGAGCTAGGGTTGCGAAGAGGACTAGCGTCCACACCAGTGCGAGTGAGAACGATCGAGTTCTTGTGGCCATTGTCTCTGGTTTTCGACACACCCTTTTGGTTTCGCCTCCAGCCTTTGATACGAAGAAGAGGAATTGAAGAGATCAAAGTGGTAGTACCAACAGAAGATGAAGGAAAAGAGAACTTCGTATGTTGTACAGCGAATGTACAGCGAATGACTGTGATCTAAGGGGTAGCCAAATAGAAGTTTGACACCTCATCCCGTGACGTATTTTTGTTCCATGCTATTGGTTGTTGGGGCGTGGGCTCATAGGATTACACTGACCTACATGAATTTTTTTATTTAGAGTTGTTTAGGATGACCTAAATAAGTGTATTTTTTATCTTTTTACGAAAAGATATGCAGAAAAGTAGAGAGATAGTGTGATGGAAAAAAGATAAAACGATAAAAAGTGTGTACTTATTTTTGGTTGCCAAACTTGACCTTAATACATATTTCTCCCACACTTGCAAACATTTACACTAAACCCCTGAAAAAATTTATCTTTTAATGGTAGGTCATTCTATTTCAACACACTTTTGTCTCATTGCACTCTTTTTTTTATTTATTTATATATTTATTTATTACAATCTCCCCTTCATCTAAAATTATCAACAACAAAAAAAAAAAAAAAAAAAAAGAGTCTCAAAATTCTTAAACAACTGCACTTTAATTTCTTAACTCGCTTATTTATTTATTATTATCTCTACATATCATCATCACTGTCACTATTGTCGTCGCTACCCTTAGTCTCTATATTGTAGCATGCCACTCTCCTCTCATAAATATGATTTTTTTTTGCTATCTCGTCAATTGCATTGGTGAGAAATGAAAAATGAGGCTACAAGAAAGAAAATGGATATAAAAATAAGGTCATAGCAGTTTGGAAAGTTATGGAAGAAGATCATGGCAGGGAAATGGGATTTGAAGGAAAAGTATATAGGAAATGAATTGATTGTAGCAGAGAAGAAACTTAAAAGAGAGTCGTAGCAGAAAAAAGAAGGTTGCAAATCTAAAAAGAGCCAAAAGTATATAGTAGTAGCAACAGTAGTAGTAGTAGTAATAAAGATGGTTGCTAGAAGAGAAAAGGGAGATGGGATTGTAGGTTATAGCAGATGAGAAGAGTCATCAATAGAAAAGGGACTGTGGTTGATAATTGGATAAAGCGACAGTAGCAATTGAAAATGAAGTTTAATAGTGGACTAGACATAGTATTTGAAATATTTGTAAACATTTGAGCATGTTTAGTATTATGATGAGTGTAAATAGAAAAAAATTAATATTTTTAATTTTTGTTCGGTAAATAAAATCAACATTTAATGTTTTCAACAATGTAAACTTATCTTAGAATCCCTATTGACTCACAATTATCCATGGTTATCAGAATCCCGATCCGGATCTTACGATCCTACGATCTTACGATCCATTTGAGTACAATCGATCCGGATCATGTAAAAAACTCTTTATAGGTAGGATCTTTCGATCCTAGTAGTGGGATCTTATAGGATCGTGGAATCCCAATCCGAATCCGATCCTATCCGATCCAATTTATAAGCCTTGTTTTGTATTGTATGACATATTTTGTTGTAAATTTTATATTTGTTGTCTAAATACCAATTTATGTCGTCAAAATAAATAATAAAAATTAAGTAGTATTGAATCAAATAAACTAAGAAAAACAAACTAGGAAACAAACATTCAAATATTGCGGTAATTTAAGAAAATTAAATAGTCGGAAAAACAAACTTAGCTTTAGCGAAGTCTAAAAAGGGTAAGATGATTGCAACTTTATCCTAATTTCTGGAGAAATTATTTTTGTGACTCGAATCCGCTCCACCAGGGATGCTAATGACAAACTTTATCATTCGACTAAGCTACTCTTTTGAATTCTTAATCTATTTTCATTTCCAATTTTGTTAAATATTTTTTCTTCACTTTTTATGCATTATTGTACATTGTAAAGTATTTTGTTATAGAATTCTTCTTCTTCTTCACCTTCTTTTTTGATAAAATACAGAACTTTTACCATCGGGTTTTCTATTGCATAATATTATATGTACATTTTACATGAAGTATTATATTTTTCACAATATATTCACTTCTTTTTAATAGAATATAGGTTCATTTTGTGTATACTTTATAAGAAATATTTATTTAAATTAAATTATTATGTACTTTGTCTTTTTCGGTAGGATCTTACGATTCTCGATCCGATTCTACGATCCGATCCTATAAATACCTCCAACGATCCAACGTAGGATCCCGATTTTAACAACCTTGCAATTATCTCTCACCAGTACCCTCGTTTATCCTACAAAAACCACAAATTTATCTCAAAATCCTTATTTCTCAATTATCTCTCTCCACTGACCCTTACTTATCTCACAAAAACCATCATACAAATCTATCATAGCAGACCCTCCACACCATAGCCTCCACCATTCACTACCTCAGAACAAGCCCACCATGCACCACTAATGGTTTGATCTTATTATGGTGACCCAAACCCTATATTATACAAATGAAACTAATGGTGGGTCTCAATATGGGACCTGGAGCTGCCAGCAGCGATCTACTGTGAGCCGGTGGGGGCTTTTTTAGAGTCTTCTTCGATGATCCAAACCGTCATACTGTAGGATTTATCGAGTATATCATCCATACAAAAAATCAAGTTAATAAAAAATTCGTAACCCTATGATCAAATTCAAATTGTTTTAAAACAATTATCAAGATAATGTTAACCATTTATTTTTTTTAAAAACAAATGTACTCTTGTTATAAAATTATAGATTTCCAATCAATTGATTTTTTGCATGAATGATCTATTTAACGAACCCTACAATATGAATAGTTCAAATAATAAAAAAAGACTCGAAAAAATCCTTCACAGGAGCACAGCAGCACCCCCAGGTTCCTTAATATGGTAACCCAAACCCAATATTATTCAGTGTGATTGGTTTTAATTTTCTGAATTTAATTTTTTAAAAATAGAATTTTTTGTTTTTCGTATTTTTTTTTTAGTGAATATTTTTAAAATTTAAAGTAATTTTTTTACTTCTTTTAGATGCACCTTACTTAGATGTATCTAAAAGTAAAAAAATTGTGAAAAATATTTTAAAAATTAATAAATATACAAAAATATGAAAAATATACCAAATTTTCATATTTTTTTATATTTTTAGAATTTAGTGAATTTTTTAAAGATTTTTTTACAAATATTATACTTTTTAAGTATATTTATGTTAGGCGTATCTAAAAATTAAAAAAAAAAATTACATAAAATATTAAAAAATTCGTTGAAAACAAAAATAAAATACGAAAAATAAAAATAAAAAATTTTCTTAAAAGTATTTTTTAAAAACCAAAACCAAACAAACTATTGCTTGATGTAATTGCTCTTGTGGATATTTTAAAAACTTTAAATAAAATATCACATGCCTACACCAATTAATTGTAAACTTTATGTATAAGAAAAATGATTTAGAGTACTAAAAGAGAGGCACTAAAGGAGCATTAAATTGTCTTTTTTCTCTTTGTGTTTTGTCTTTTTCTTTTTCTTTTTTTTTAATTTTTTTTAGGCATGCCACCTCACTAGAGTTGCTTTTAGTGCCCTTCTTTTAGTGGTCTGTATCATAATTGACACTAAAAATATCACCAATGATTCATCCCACAACAATGATTCATCCCACTAAAAATATCACCACTAATAGCACTAACGCATTAAAAAAATAAAAAAAACAAAAAAAAAACACAACTCCAAGACCAAAACATCACATCATTAATGGCGGGACCCACTGCCACCTAATTAGTGGGAGCACTAATTAATGCTCCCAAGCATTTTTCATAATAGTATAGATTGTATATATGATATATAAGAGAGAGAACATACACGTTCAGATTGATTATGGACGGCAGCAGCCCTACATCTTTTAGTTGAGATAGAAGATTTCCCGGTTGGTTTCTTCTTGTTTTCCTCCTCCCCTGCCGCTATCTTTAAACCAAAAAACAAAATGAATATATAAATTGATTAAAATTTAATTATTATTAAGCACAATTTTAAATTACTAATTTTTATGGTATTAGACCTACTAACTAATAATTTAGATGTAACAATTTATATATAATTTGCATTTGAATTTTAACTTTTTCATTCGAGTTTTGTCAAATAACATTCATTTATTTTTATTTTTAATGATCTTTTGTTTTTATTTTTTAAGTTTTTTTGTCAAAAATCAAAACTAATAATTAATTTTAAAAAACTCCAACATTATACAAGCCAATGTTAGAAAAATCTATCACCCTTAATCTAATAATCATAATAAAAATAACATTATACAAATATAATTTTTATACAAAATGATGCTACATTTGTGTCCTTTATTCATATCAAAACACATATTGATTTATAATTTCTAAAATACCATTAAGATGTCATTTTGAATGAAATTTCTCCATCAAAAATTTATTTAGGGTAAATTACAAATACAACGCTTGAGGTTTGCTTAAAATATGGATTGTCTCCTGTAGTTTGAAAAATTACAAATAATCTCTTATCAGAATTTTTTATTTTACAGAATTAATTGAAAAAAATAAAATTCCTAACAATTTTCCTATACAATAATAAAATTACTTGAATTATTAATTGAAATAAATTTATAAGATTATTAAAAATTGTTAATTGATTTGATGATTTATTAATAAAATGAATAATTTGTTATGAAATTAGAAATTACAAAGGGATGTAATTTCCAAAACTAATTTATATTTTAAGCAAAATTCAGAATTGTATTTGTAACCTTTTATTTTCTGTACCATCTTCCATACAAATAATATTTAGTTAGATTTTTTTTTTTTTTATTCCCTTTCGCATATGTATTTCTGTAAAGAATGTTAATAGAAAACCACAGCAAAATACAAAACAAATAATTTAATGAAACTATAAAAGCAATAAATTACTTAAATAGCAAAATTAAATAAAATTAAAATGCTAGACAAGTTATACAATTAAACTTATAACTCTAAAATAAATTACAAACCTTATAACTCTAATAATTAAATAAAATTAATTGACAAGAGTTATATGAAATTATAGCACAATAATCATGTAAATAAATATACAATTAACACTTGTAATTGGCAAGAGTTACAAAATAAAACTATAACTCT